AACCTTAAAGCAATTTCTCAGAGCGGGGCAGGTATGCCACAACCCTATAGCCATTTTTCAGGCCGGGGCCGATATGCCACAACCCTGAAGCAATTTCTCCGGGTGGGGCCGATATGCCACAACCCCAAAGATATGCCTGACTGCAACCAAATGAGTTGACACTATGAAAATAATTCCAAATTCGCCATTAGTAAGTTAATTGATTCTACTACGAACGAAACAGGCTTCTGATACGTGGAGCATATATACATTGATTCAATAGCGAACAAGGCGCTCAAAGTACCTCACAGTACCTTCCTCATGCCAGCTCACCTCAAGCTTCTGCATACTAGTTCATAAACTCCTACACGGAATAACGTAAAAAAGTATGTAAAGCAAATAGGTCCCCAACCAGAAATTCCTCCATTTTCTCTTCCCGTGATTTTACCGAACCCCGTGAGCTTATTCAAGCGGCATTACGTCACACCGAATTTCCGAGCTCCAATCCGGGGAAAATGAGGTTCTTAGAAAAATGAAGCTGCGCCCGGAAATTACTCGCCACGCCCGAGAATCTCACGGTCGTACGCGCGCTCAATTTTTATCTCTGACACATTTCCGCTATCTCTTCGCGATCACACAGTTTTACCCTTATATGGTGATGCTCTTCCGAAGTGGAGAAGAGTTGGTACTCAACTTTTGGTCCACATTACCAACCTTCGGCGTCACTGTGGCTCGCGTCCGGGATAACCTCGCCTCGCTCAATGAAGTCATCATCAACTCCCTCCCTGCTCCGCCGGGTTGGGAACAGAACGTTGCAGGGTAGCCGCTTGCGATCGTCTGGGGTGCTATTGTGATCAGGTCTAGTGTTGTTACATTTATGAGTTACGTATGATCTCACACTTCCACTAGTGTAGTAGTGAAGATTTAGTACTCTAGTTATGCTAGTCCATAGCAAATCGAAGCCTTTTACAAATCTAGCTGCCTTCTCTAATCCATTCTTTGTATTTAAATTACATCAGTACTCCGATTCACCACGATTTCATGATTTTTTCATCAAAAGTTGTATATACTTCTGCTAGTTATTGATCTCTCTCAGGGTGTGGCGGTCCTTACCACGAAAGCTCCAGCTAATTCAGTGTATGTTCCTCCTACTGGGCTTAGCGTTGGCGCTATCAGCTTGGTGCTTGGTCCGCAGTAATCGCAAAGAAAAGAAGAGAAATGAGCTCATCAAAGAAGATCAGAAGCGTCGGGTTGAAGAATCCACACCAGAAAATGTAAGAAAATTTTTCTTATATTTTCGCCGATAGCAGCGCCACGTGCTCAAGTGACATGTGAAATAGTTCTAGGCTACTGGTATTCGCCAATGAACTTTGTTTTTTGTATCATCTCGCGAGTGAGTGTATAGTTATATCCAGAAATTACTGTAGAGGTACAGTTCAAGATTAAACTATATCGCATAAACAATGTTAACATTGCTATGAACATGTGATGTGATAAAAGTAACCTTTCGAGACTGTCATAGCGACAAGTTGTTCACTATCATTAATCCTGGAATAGAAAAAACGCATTTGCATATCACATTGGCACGCACTGTATTTTCTCATAGGTGGCCCCCACTGTGTTTACTCCCACCACAGTGGCAACGCCAATACGGCCCCGTAGTCCCAAAGATCTCGAAGTATCGAAGACTGACGCTGACGGCGAGCATGTCGTTTTCTACCAATGTGAAGAACGAAGTCCGAAGTATATAGTGAAGGAGCTACTGAGCAGCGAAGAAGAGATAGTTTTGAGATCAAAGTTGAAGTATCATAAACACCGGTTAACGCGTCGGCGACGGCCTAAAGTAGCACTCGGGGGTATTTGAATTTGATCAAAAAATCTTATATTGCCGACATCGATATTCTGGTGTCAGTTACAACCAGAGGCTGCTCATTCCCATGCTGAAGAGTTGAACGTTTTGGGACGAGCTCCGGTCACGCCTCCGAGAAGACGCGCGATATCATCTTTTTGAACGTCTTGTTGCTACTATTACCATTATGCCTTCTTTCTAACGTAACGTACCTAACGCTACCCCTCTACCTTAGCTACATCATGGCGTGCTCTCTGTTATAATGCCCTCAGCCGCGGTTCGGTTGCGCGATTTTGGCGGGCTACATGGGTTTGTTCAGCGCTGTGTCTGTCCCTTTTTTCGGTCATTTATCTCGTATGATCGGCGAGGAGTTTGTTCTTGCGAATTATGGACTGTAATACCGCAGAGCTGTGCACTTAGACTAGATGATATCATGTCGTCGTTTTTGTTGCTATTCATCGAGAGCGGCGCTACAAGTTCATGTGCGTCGTACATTTGTATAATACTTGTAGTAAAGACTTGTATGTTGCGTTCACAGTGGGTGGTTTTCTTTTCGGAATCGAAATTGATACCTTTCCAGAAGCTCTCTAATGCGGGCATCTCGGCGATCAACTTCTGCATTATTGGCAACAGCGACAGTAGTTGCTCTCGGGATGGCGTTGTGGAGTTACAAAAGACGAGAGGCTGATAATGGTAATGGTGGTCGACCCGATTCCATGCCTGCCAGTGATCAACTACATATGTTGGTGACAACATGAAAGTTCAACTACAGTGCTTTTTGTACACCTCTACCGAATTCGTTATTTAATGAGAAAATTTCTGATCTCAGCGGAGGAAAGCGAACATATAACTTATATTCATAGTTTATTGATACCTACACTGGTCGTTGCTGTATCAGAGTTCGAGAGACGACTCGAGACGGAGCTGCGTCGAACGAGTTTGACCGAATGGAAAGCGCAAGGCATGGCTCCGAAGAATCTTCAGCAGACTTAGTGATGTTCCTATTGTTCGCATGTTTCAATGAGAGAACGCGAGTGTCTTGTTCGTTAGTCTGGGCCGACGACTACCAGCTAGATTGGCCATGTCTCTAGACCGTTTCTACTGCAAAGATTGATATCATATAACTGTTAGTATCTCCTCGATCCACATCATGTTGATGAAACTTTCATTCATATTCATCGCGTCGGATCATGCGCATTACACACAGTGAATGCATGATAGAGTTTAGAACGGAAGTCTACATACTACAGATCGCTCTGTTGTATTCCGCATACTAGTCTATTTAATCTGTTTTACTGTGCAAAGCACCTCGCTCATCGCAGTCCCACCCACTTGTCGAACTCGACAATTCCGCCCTTGAGCCATGAAATGATCCTTGATACCGCGAGGTCCCGATGGAGAGTGGAGCTATGCTTTCTGCCATCAGCAGATCCACAATCATCCAACTCACCAAGGGACCTGCCTCACCCACTCAAAAGAAAAAGTACGATTCAAGTGGACCAACAACTACACAAGACTCATCTCGCCTCGCACTCTCTACCCTTCTATCCACCGCAACATCACTTAGGGAACAATCGTACATCTCGGGCGCGCTCATGATTTCCACCTCCTAGCACTTCATGCCCTCCAATACAATCACCCCACTGGTGAACACCAACACGGAGACGATGCACGCAAACTCAATTCTCATCACGACAGATTCATGCTACACCTCACTGTTGATATGCCTGAACGGACCTTCCAAGACGTAGTTTGTGAAGAAGTCGTACTGATACACCAAATTTGGTATCGATGGCTGGAACGGTACTGCCGTCATCTCAAGCAGCTTCCATAGCAAGTCTCCATTCTCGCGGACGCTCGAGCCGATGAAAACCCCATCAGTCGAGACCAACAGCTTCGCAGCTTCGGCGTAGTTATTCCAAACTTCTTCTGTTATAAAGGGAGGATCGATGACCACACAGTCGAAAGTGTGCTGCAGATCTTCGGCTATCTCCTTGGGCTTTCGATAGTCGAACTTGACACACTTCTCACCTTGCAGTAGATGGGTATCGAAATCGAATAACCAGCACTCGAGCTTGTCCGAGAGCTCGGGCGCTGCGGCCACTGTGAAGTAAACACTAGGTGTTGAGAGGCAGGCAACACGTAGAGGCTCATCTAGGTTCTTGTGCTGATGAATAGATAGCAGTTCGCCTACGAGAGTCTCGATGGTATTGGGAGAATACCAGTATTGATTGAACTCTGCCTTTTCCTTCACGCTGAATGGTTTGGTTTTTGTCATCAATTCTAAATGATCGAGAGTTTTGAAAATCTAACCTTGAGAAAGCAGACGCATTCGAAAAGACTGTGACTCGTTAGTATTATTCTCGGTAAGGATAGTGCATGTGCGAGTATCAATCGACCGTGGGACCAATATGGTTCAACCAAACTCAGCAATTAATGATATCGCCACGAAAAGCGGTGAAACGATCAGCAAACTCGTAGGTCTCAACACGGTGACGAAGTGTAAGGCTCTTAACGTCGACATCATCAACACAGAAAAACCATTTCGTTTCATGTCACACTGAGCTAGTAGCCTCGCATCGCTCGAGCGGTCATATCTGTGCGGCGAGTAGAACTTGGAGTACAGTAAAGATCCAGCCGCCTTATCACACCTGGTTCACTGAGGTCACCTGATATTACTGTCGTTGCATTCCACTGTCTATCCCACCGGAATAGAACAGTGGAGTCCACTAAGTGGATGTTTCAGGCTTGACAGTTTGAGTACAACGATATCGGTGATGATGATCGTAATTATGATGATGGTGGATAAATGCTGATTGCCATTCTATGTCGTTCCGTTGCAAATGCCATTACTCCTGGAATATGCTTCTGTTGCCATAGCTTGTTCTAAACAAGCTGAACAAGTTGTTCATGTCATTGTTTATGCTTGCCATTCATCGACTATACCCGAGTAGTCGCGGTCTGTAATTTATCACATTCGCTACTCACAACCGTTGCGCGGACTTCCATTTACAGACGCTCGCCGAGCAAAACGATCTAGTTCTGCGAAATTCCCCCAACCACTCCATCGTGAAACTCACTGTAGAACCTTCACGACTCAATCTCATAAGGAGATGGGTCCGACTATTGATAACACGATGCATAACAGACCCGATGATCTCAGATGATGCTATTTTCGCATCCATCGGCGATCAGTTCCAGATCTATCGAGATTTCAGGAAACATGGACGACCTTTACACTCGTGTATTGCGCGTGGTGGCAGTATGTTGAAAGTTTCAACTTGAAACAGCATATGTGAAAATGACAAAATGATCTCGAATTCCAAAGACAATTTTTTTCGACAAAACTCGACACGTAACGCAGCAAGTAGAAACCTTATCGTTACACGAGAGTCTGCCTCACTGGTCACCACGAGCTGTATCGAGAGGACCTATCCCTCCCAGAGCGGTAATGATGATAGTCGCCACGATCCTGGGAACGACCTTGACGGCGACTCGAGCTGCTGTAACTCCAACGATCGCTCGATGGCGAATTCCCTGTAGAGAGGTAACAGCACCATCAATGCCGCGCCAAATCTCACCTGGTCCGCTCCGGTCGGAGGCATGTCCACGATATTGCCTTCTATATGAGTTCTGAAAAAAGAGTCATTTTCGGTGATATCATTTTGTAGTCATCTTTGTAAAAGTTTTCCTTACCCGCCTTGGCCGAACTGCATTCTTAAGCTCTTCGCTAACTGGCTGATTATACTTCCTCAAGAAGGCAATAAGAGCATCACCAATTCGTCTGTCCTTGCTAGCGGGGTTGTAGTATGCGATAGCGCGACCCTCGTGACCAATACGGCCTGTCCGGCCTATTCGGTGCGTATATGTCTCAATACCTAGTAGGCACGCATTGTATGTGTTAATAGCACAGCCACATAGAGAGGGTGGCCTCAGCATTATGCGGAAAGCAGTCGATAGTCCTACTCTCAGGCATATCGTAGTTAATTACTAATGTCACGTTCGGGAAATCCAAGCCTCTCGCGGCAACACTGGTCGATACCAATACTTGATCTTCGTTGGTGCGGAACCTGATTGAGTACACGAGAAAATGATCGAGTACCGACTATGCAATAGAATGCAGGAGAAGGAAAACAATCCTGGCTGTATCATACAAGCCGGGCAGACCTTCTGAATACCACCCAAGACATGCTGAGCGGGCCTTTGTGGGTCGATAACAACAACACGGGCTATAATAAAAATTCAAAAAAACGAAACCATCATCACTCAACTACAGAAGTAGGTTACATTCCACCAATGAAGTCAAACCGGTAATTTAGATCGTGGTGATGAATAAATATTCGAAGACATACGAGGTAGTTAACCTTTTCATAAGAGGACGAGTCACAGCCGAGCGGACTGCAAATCGCAGTCTGCGATAACCTTGTCTGGTCCCGAACCCAGGTGCCTTCCACTAAAGGGTAGAAAAAGATTACCCTATATCCTATTCACATGATGACGATGTGGGACCGATGATTGGAGCCCAATGTGTACAGAACACTGTGATAAACAGCAAAGGAGAAGCACCTTTATCCTCATTCAGGGGTGCAGCCTCCGGTGTTCTCTCATCGCAACTCTCCGCGACCAACTCAATGGCGCAGTTTTCAACCGGGTAACTTGCGTCTCCGTCGCTATAAATATCCAGTCAATCGCCACCTTCCTCCACATAGATGGCACTTTCACGTTGAAGTACCAGTGAATTCGAAAACCGCGATCGGATACTTGCCGACAATCGGGAGTTCGTAATCGTCCGCATAAATTGCCGAGCGAATAACAAGTGTATCAACTGTTGAGGTGCAAGTGATTGCAGTAGAAATGCTAGCCATCTCTTCGTAGGCACTTAGCTTGAAGAGTCCGGAACTCCCTAGTACTGCGTCATGAGATGAGGAAGACAGAAGGACTGGCACCGTCGACTCGTCGAGGATTATCATAGCATGTGGACAAATACAGTGCTTGATTCAATTTTCACCATATCGGCATCAGTGATTGATAGAGCCGCCATCTTATCATCCCTTCACAGCTCACCTCCTCACGACTTCTTCCCGGACCGCCTGCAGCTGCTTGCCCTGTAGTAAACCACAGCATAAACTCCCACTTCCACATATTCGTTTATGGAGATCCTTTCCTCTATCACGAGATGCCACGAAAACTATCGCCTGCGAGATTAACATGTCACAAACAGAATTCACGAGGGCAAAATCAACAAGTGCACATCGATCTATCAAGCGTAAAACTTCTCGTGAACTGACCTGTTCTCCCTTAGCGACGTCAAGCTTAGCCAGATCCTCCCAAAGAGCTTGGTCCTTGGCCTGGTCCGAGGTCAACACTCGAACCGACTGTGCAACATTAGACCGTAATGCACCTCCATCACCGCCAGCTCCCCGTCCCCGGCCGACAGCGATTGCCACCCGTTGCTTGCGTAGAAGAGTCTGATCAAACTGAACTTCAGTTCCTACACGGTTTCCCGTACAACCCACCTCGCCCTCTAGCCACGGCTTGAGGTTTGGATTGTCAATAGTGGCAGAGAACAGCAGTGTTTGCCGTCCACTGGGCTCTGTAAGGTCCGTGTCCATGAGAATGTTATTAACATACGCCTGAGACAGAATGTTCTCTCGCTACTCCACCCAGCGGTGTCCTACCTCCAAGCCCATGGATAGCATCTGATCTGCCTCGTCCAACACGAGGAACTTGACATACCCCAAGGACACCTGGTTAGTTCTCCCAAACTCACTACGACTACTAGCAAGCTTACCCTTCCCGTCTCGTTAAACTCGAGGAGCCTTCCGGGAGTGGCCACCAACACGTCGAGCTGCTCCGCACAAATGCGGTCCGCCTGCCAGAAAAATGACTACTATAATATTCCAACGTGGAGCAATAGGGAATCTAACGGTTTCACGGTTACATATTATGGCGGGCGAAGTATGAAGATAGTACAAGAGAGCAGTTTATTCTAACCCCAGCGAACCCACCTGACGCGATGCAGTTTCTCCACCATACGCTGCCATTGTTCGACACATTTCTCCTTGAGCAAGGCTCACCGAGCACGACTGACCAGTGGACACTTCTTCCCGAAACCACCACAACACTTTACTTCAAAATCTTTCACCAACTGCATCGCGAGCTCTCTTGTTGGGGCCAGTACCATGCACAGTGGAGACGCCTGGGCCATCCTACAACACAATACCATTACTCCAGTGCCCATATCTTCGCTTTCCTCAGCTGAGCTCAGGAGTTTTCTCATCAATTATGAAAGTTTATATACGGCTTAGGGTAGACGTGTACAGAAACCCAATAAAAATTCGTTCTATGATTATATTTCCAGCCTGCTCAAACGATCGCCTTACCTCCCTGGAAAGAATGGCCGGGGAACTGTTGAAGACAATTTGCCAATCTTCGACACAATAGGTGCGATAAATGCCAGACTTTTTCCTAATCACAAAGGCATTCCACATCAACCACGTCGGCTACTTTTACCAGTGCCCGTCTGCGCACTTGCTACTACGTCCACTCCGGCAGCTATCACCGGAATAGCATGCTGTTGTATCGGGGTAGGTCGGGCCGCCTACAATGGAAGAGCTACTGACCCCAGAGAGCCGTCCATATACTCACCCCGGAGGTCTCAAGAGCATCGACAACATTCTGTAAGAGAATACCACGTTCAACCGCCTCTTCCCATGTGGCAAACCGTGCCAGCCTACAACGTAAACGCATGAAAAAACTTCGCTCCGCTCAACCATACAAACTACTTTTTCTTCTCTTCCTCACTAAACGACTCCACCCCTCGAACTGTACAAGGCGCGTCGAATTCCAGCAGCCCACCTGCTTCTCGCCGAACAACCTATTTCCAGAATCTCAAAGTCGTTTTGTTCCATCTCTACACTACCAAGCCTTCCGGGCTCACAGACTCGCTTTCCCCTCGTTCCGACGAGTCGCTTTCTTCACTCGAACGTGTTGTGTCCTGCTGATTATCATTGGAATAATCAGGACTACGGCTACGTTGCCGTATGTACCTGAGTGTAATAATGTTGGAGTAGGAATTTATGTTCGCTTTCCTCAGCTGAAATCGAGAGTTTCCTATACAGTGTTGGAGTAGGAATATATGTTTGCTCTCCTCAGCTGAGCTCAGGAGTTTCCTATACAGTGTTGGAGTAGGAATATATGCTCGCTTTCCTCAGCTGAGCTCAGGAGTTTCCTATACAGTGTTGAAGTAGGAATATATGTTCGCTTTCCTCAGCTGAGTTCAGGAGTTTCCTATACAGTGTTGAAGTAGGAATATATGTTCGCTTTCCTCAGCTGAGCTCAGGAGTTTCCTATACAGTGTTGGAGTAGGAATATATGTTTGCTTTCCTCAGCTGAGCTCGAGAGTTTCCTATACAGTGTTGGAGTAGGAATATATGCTCGCTTTCCTCAGCTGAGCTCAGGAGTTTCCTATACAGTGTTGGAGTAGGAATATATGTTCGCTTTCCTCAGCTGAGCTCGAGAGTTTTCTCACTAATTATACAAGTTATTATACAAATTCTGGTCAACAACATTTCCCCGAGATTTCCTTTCAATTTTCATATTGTCACCGACACGTACAGTTGCCCCCACTGGACTCCTCCCCGACCGAGTGCGTCCTCACCTAGGGCTGGATCTAGATCTCGATCGGGACCTGGCTCGCGGTAGACCTGATGGCTTCTCACCTCCCTAAAGGAGTCAACGACTCTTTAACAACATCAATAACACTACTACTTCCTCATCAACACTGCGCTGTTCGCCCGTCCAACGCCTGCCAGGATCGATCCAATCCACCGAGTCATTTTGATAGCTACCACTGGCGCCCTACGCGCACAGTTCACCGCCTCATAAACAACTACAACCACCTCTACCTTCCAAAACTGTCCTCCAGAGCTTCCACTCCCGTCCCAATACTCTTGCCCACCCTTCCTAAAGTCACCACTATGAACGCTTCAGAGTGAGCATCTCCCACCATGATCCGCCCGATGCGCCAGCCTTATACTCGTATCTTTGATCGCCGCCAGCATCATACCTATAGCAATAGTAATATATGTTTCTTTTCCTCAGCTGAGCTCGGGAGTTTATTCGACAAAAACCAATGCATATTTCCGACAGTCGACCATATACGCGTTTCTCATCTGCTCTCTGAGACTGAAACTAGAATTTATATTTCCCCAACTAGATGATTTAGATTCTAAGTTAAAGTAGCCCTCTTTAAAGAGGAACTCCGCTCAACGAGCAGCCGCCGAATTCCCCCCTGGGGAGAGAATCGAACCGATCGCCGCCATGGTCCGAGTCCTAGCGTGAAATTGAGACTGAAACTAGAGTTTATATTTCCTTCCTCACTCAGAGTATCTTCTACCAGCCTCCCAACGTGAGCTCCCATAACCTTGCTGCCGCCACTGACTACCGCTGCTTTGCCAGGACATAGAAAATCTCGGCTTTAACGCACTGTGAAGATTCTCCCCGATCCGTCGTCATCATACGTTGACCAGCATATTTTATACCGTAACAAAATCATTTCCAATTATTGGATATATGTTCGCTTTCTCCGACCGAGTTCGAGAATGTTACATTCTGAATGTACAGAAGCCAATAAAAACTTCCCAAAATTTCCATATTGTCACCAACACATGTAGCTGATCATCTGCATATTCTCCCACCATTCACATAAGCCCAATTATCACTCACGCAAAACCAAATTACATCCAATGGTAACTTTGAGTACACCAAATAAAAGCTTACATCAACTACGACATATCCAATTCTACTATATATTAATACATACAGAACAACTCAATCGCATCCAATTACACCCTATATAGATGCTACTATATATAAGACCACATACAAACAATAAATATTCAAATCAGCATTAAATGGAGTCATGAACCGCCATAGTAGCGCAGTCGGAAATGATTCCCTCCAAGGGTTTATTGTCGAAGTCGCGACCGCCGAATATGATGCCGATTTCGGTCGCCACCTGCGGTCCGGAAACTCTTCGAGCTGATAAAACGGCCTACGAGAAGACATATAATGCGTTTCAAATTGACATGCAAATGATATCAAATTGCATCACATAAACATTGCTATGAACATGTGATGTGATAAAAGTAACCTTTCGAGACTGTGATAGCGACAAGTTGTTCACTATCATTAATCCCGGAATAGAATTGGCATGCACTGCACAGACTTTCCCAAACCGTTAACTGTTCGATTCAACAACAACAACAACAACAACATATACAACATATACAACAACAACATATACAACAACATATACAACAACAACAACATATACAACAACAACAACAACAACAACAACAACAACGAGCTAACAAATAATACAAAGTCTTATCACTCAATTGCTTACCACTAGACGAGAACATAGCCAAAAGCAATCACGATCTACAACGATAGTCATAAATCGACCCGAACCATGTTCACATAACGCGTCCAGGACAGCGACGCTCAGTGTTAGAGTAGGAGTGTATGTTCGCTTTCCTCAGCTGAGCTCAGGGGTTTCCTATACAGTGTTGGAGTAGGAATATATGTTCGCTTCCCTCACCTGAGCTCAGGGGTTTCCTATACAGTGTTGGAGTAGGAGTGTATGTTCGCTTTCCTCAGCTGAGCTCAGGGGTTTCCTATACAGTGTTGGAGTAGGAATATATGTTCGCTTTCCTCAGCTGAGCTCAGGGGTTTCCTCACTAATTATACAATTCGGAGGGAAGAGCATAGAAACTAATAACAATTGCCCCAAATTTACTAAATACTGTCACCAACACATGTGCATATAGCCTCACCTGGTCCTTCACACTAGCTGGGAAAGCGTGGCCATCAGTAACAACCTCAGCCGTGGAATCAACAAGACTCTGCTCACTTCCAAACTCGCAACAACGCAGGAAGACCCTCCTCAGCAATCTGATCAACAGTGGCGTTTCACCTGTGATATAAAGAACATATTTCACATTCCATCTCGCGAAAAACAAATGTATTATCGGTCGCGGAAACATATACGTCTTATAATTCACATAGAGTATTACGATATTTCACTTTAGACAGGTAAAACTCCAGCAACCAAACCACCACAAAGTTCATTGGAGTTTCACCCGTTTCACGTAAAGTGGCATAATACTCCGTGAAAAACCCGATATTCGCGGTCATATGCAGTATTTTTTCACTGATGTTTTTCTTATCACTAGGGTGTAACCGCATTAGTTTCTTACTCATATTTAGCTGCATATTCAACTACTCCTGCTATTTTCTCGATCGATTCACCGCGACGACCATCACCACATGCCAGCATAGGACTACCAAAAATTTCCTGCGAGAATAGACCCAAAAGCTACTACTGATTCCACTGGTGCAAGCCTGATTTGCCCAGGAGCATTTCTGCATAACCGTCAATATTGAATTCCCGTTCGCCTGAAGTGAAATTTTACTCGACAGCTAAAATGGTCACCATTATTACTATCACCATGAGAAATCATTTCCCTCACTTTCATCGACACAGCTCGGCCGAGCTCTCGTACAATATCCTGCCAAAAAAACCAAGATAAATTTTACGATTTTTTTTGAAATTTTTTCGCTCATTTTTTAACAGTCACAACCATATTTTTGCCAATAAATAAAAAAATTATCTGTCAGGAACTCGGTTTTTTCCAGTTAGAAACCTTGCCGACTTATCCAACAATAACACCCATATTCTCTGAAAACCCAGGTTTTTTCACGACGTCTTCATAAGTTGTGCTGACTTCCCAAAGCACGCGACGCTCAAACATATCCCGCAAGAAAATCTGAATTTTTTCTTAATTTTTCGGGAAAAAATTTTTCCACGAAAATTTGTAAATTTTTCAAAAATTTCCTGTGATTTTTTCAAAAAATTCCGGACTTCAACGAACCCGAATACTCCCCCTCACCGATAATACCCATGCCAGCGTCGACCCTCCGCTTTCCAGCTCACAGACCACTCTAATAGCACGCACAGTGCGGGCCTTGACGGCCCAGTGCCTCTCGATACACGACAATTGCCGTGGGAACAACACGGGTATCTACAGTGTGTTTCGATTTGATATAGAAATGAGATTGAACTAAATGTTAACATTGCTATGAACATGTGATGTGATAAAAGTAACCTTTCGAGACTGTGATAGCGACAAGTTGTTCACTATCATTAATCCCGGAATAGAAAAACGACACATATTCCCCACATTTGCATATCAAATTGGCACGCACTGTACACATTTTATTGCACGCAAACGTTACTCATAGATCACATATGCGTTTAAACGCACATATACCAAATTGGCGTGCACTATCCATCACCCATGTACATATCTAGTATATGTAGTATTCCTACAACTTATATATAATACTACGTATTTTGATATAACGCGTATCTACAGCGTTAATAGCATATCGCTACACGCGAACGCCCGTGAGGTGAAGACGAGACGCCTCCTAATATCTCCCCGTCGTCCATTGCTCCTTATATACTTCACATTGGCTAACTCAGTCAAGTGCTGGTCTCCTTGTGCCGAATACGTCGACCTTATAAACGAACCAACTTGCCATCACCTGTTGGTTTGTCGCCTGACCGAAGACGGCCGAGAGCGAGAGAGATGATCAAGTAGAGAAAAAGTCAGTGAGCTCAGTTCACAGAACTGGACGGACCACCCCAACGGATATATATACTTTACAGTGGCTAACCTATACGATCCTACGTAATATCTATATGCCTGTCTACAGTGCGAACCAAACCGTTATGCAAATCACCTTTTTTGAGGGAACTTGCTCAATAAGGAGAGTTTATCAATGATCTTTGAAAGGTGTACTGATAATGAGAGTGAAAATCGATTGATACCGTTTCACAACCGTTTCATCATACATTGTTATATTATGGGCGCACGAAAATTTAGTAGTATAAACTACGACCTACGCCATCGATGAAATCCCATAGCATCGCTCCCAACAAGATGGTCACCGTAATACAAAACGGAGCTGTCAAAGCAGGCCCTCCATTAGGAAGTACCTGAAACCATATAACACGAAAACCCCACGCACATGGTCAACTACATGTGTTTGTAAAAATATGAAAATTCTGAGGAAATTTTGGGAAATTCTTGTTGGTTTATGTGGGGATATATGCACATGGTCAACTACATTAGTTGGTAAGAATATCAAAATTCTGGAGAAATTATCAAAAATTCTTTTTGGTTTCTGTATGCATATGGTCAACTACATGTGTTGGTGAAAATACGAAAATTCT